CCCCGGCCTTTTTTTTTTTTTTTGAGACTCAGTCTTGCTTTGTCACCAAGGCTGGATGTCAGTGGTGCATTCTTGGCTCACTGCAACTTCTGCCTCCTGGGTTCAAGTGATTTTCCTGACTCAGCCTCCCGAGTAGTTGAGATTACAGGCACATGCCACCATGCCCGGTTAATTTTTGTATTTTTGGTAGAGATGAGGTTTCACCATGTTGGCCAGACTGGTCTCAAACGCCTGACCTCAGGTGATTCACCTGCCTCGGCCTCCCAAAATGCTGGGATTACAGGTGTGCACCACCATGCCCGGCTAATTTTTGTTTTTCGTAGAGACAAGGTTTCACCATGTTGGCCAGGCTGGTCTCAAACTCCTGACCTCAAGCGATCTGCCCTTGGCCTCCCAAGGTGCTGGAGGGAATTATAGGCGCGAGCCACCGCACCCGGCCTCTTGAAAGGTTTTCTACACAGGAGTGGCATGTAGATGTGGCTGTTGTTGGGCAGTTTCAGAAATATCCCTAACAGCATTCTTTTGACAAGGTGGCATAACCAGAAGGAAGCCTGGCTGGGAATGCTGGACCTGGCTCTCAGTCCCAGTTGCTGACTGGTTGCTGACTCGTTAGGGTCACAGTTGCTTCATTTTATAGGCCCTGGGGATTCTGTCTGATCTCTCATAGGTTCCTTATGAAAATCAAGTTAATGTATGTCCAGCAGTTGATGCAATGCCCAACACATAGAAAATGCTCAATTACTGTTAGCCCTAATATTTTAAAATAGGACTCAGAGAGAAAATTATAATCAAGCCCTTTCGTAACAGATATTTGTGTTCGAGTTTGATGTCAGTAATGGCTTACGGGTTTTGTTTAAAAAGTCATACATTCCATATAAACGAGCCTCTTAGGAAAAATGGTTTGTTTTAAAGGTGAGATCTCTATAATTGTAATTTTAAAAAATATTATGTATTTCACTTGATGCCATTTGCACTTTAAGCACAAAATTAAGTCTAGATTTTCTGTGTGTAGTTGACGCTTTTCTCTGAGGTATTATACTCAAATTGAAGATTTAGTCAAATATATTCTGTGTATAATTTTTCTAGTTTTAAGCAGTGGAGAAGGAAAATATAGGTACTTAGTAAATAAATAGAATTGAAAATGGAAATGCCCAATTATAAACTGAAACGCCAGACTTTTAGGGGGCATGAAATGAAATGAGAAGTTCTTCTAATCAAATACTTCACTGAAGATTTTAAAATAAAGATTGTTGACATTCAGATTATCATGATGCTAAATGTCCCAAGGAGATTATTACAAACATGTTAGAAAGTGCTATTGTTTTTATATTTGGGTGATATGTTTGAAAATAACTTTAAAATGACTGGGAACGATTTTCCAAGATCTAGTGGTAGGGTAAGGAGATTGCTTTTCTCACCTGATGAAGCAAATATATACTTTTCTTCTTTTGCAGAGTTGAACAATGACCATAGTTGACAAAGCTTCTGAATCTTCAGACCCATCAGCCTATCAGAATCAGCCTGGCAGCTCTGAGGCAGTCTCACCTGGAGACATGGATGCAGGTTCTGCCAGCTGGGGTGCTGTGTCTTCATTAAATGATGTGTCAAATCACACACTTTCTTTAGGACCAGTACCTGGTGCTGTAGTTTATTCAAGTTCATCTGTACCTGATAAATCAAAACCATCACCACAGAAGGATCAAGGTACTGTTTTTCAAAAGAGAGAATTACCGCCAGAAACTCCTGTGTAAATGCTGTTGGTGACTTGGTGGTTTCAGAGAGGGGCTTATTTTGCAAGGCATGAGGCCACCTGAGTAGCCAGCAGAGTTGCATTACTCGATGGGCTTTGTTTTCCTGTTACTTGTCCGTGTTTGACAACAAAGTAGCTTGTTTTTGTTACTAGAATATTATTAGTTTCTTTTATTCCAATTTTTTTAAGGATAAACTTTGTTTTGGTGAGAATTGAGATGGGCAAGCATTACATTAACTTGTTAACCAGTAGTTATTCTAGTTCCCTAAGTAGATGACTTTTACAAATTTTGAAGATGTTTTGTAAAATGGTTGTCTTTTGACAAATGAACTTTGCCCAGTTTTTTTGTTTTTGTTTTTTTCCTGGCAGTTAAAAATCATTCGTAGTAATAAAGCTCTTCGAAAGAGAGCAGATAGGCCAGGCACGGTGGCTCACACCTGTAATCCCAGCACTTTGGGAGGCCGAGGCAGGCGGATCACCTGAGGTCAGGAGTTTGAGACCAGTCTGGCCAATATGGTGAGACCCTGTCTCCACTAAAAATACAAAAATTAGCCAGGCATGGTGGTGTGTGCCTGTAATCCCGGCTACTTGGGAGGCTGAGGCAGGAGAATCGCATAAACCTGGGAGGCAGTGGTTGCAGTGAGCCCGAGATCGCACCATTGCACTTCAGCCTGGGCAACAGAGCGAGACTCTGTCTCAAAAAGAAAAAAGAAAAAAAAGAGAGTATATAACACAAATGTTACATTTGTTATGATGATACAAATGTGGTTACATTTGTTAAAACTCATCCAGATAAATGAGACATTAACACTTTAAGTTGGTACTTCAAGACTTTTGGATTTGAGGACATGAAGATTTGAAATACAGTAGAATTTCCTAGTTAGATTGTTGTTTGGCTTAGAGCATGTAGCCCAGGACAGCTTTGAATGCAGTCCAACACAGATGCGTAAACTTTCTTAAAAACAGTGAGTTTTTTTGTGGGTTTTTTTTTTGTTTTTTTTTTTTTAAGGCTCATCAGCTATTGTTAGTGTTAGTGTTAGTGTATTTTATGTGTGGCCCAAGAAAATTCTTCTTCCAATGTGGCACAGGGAAGCCAAAAGATTGGACACCCCGTGGCTTCAAGTAGTTTGATTGCCATGTTGTTTTGAGTCCTTTTAGCAAATTTCTTTTTTTTTTTTTTTTTTTTGAGACAGAGTCTGGCTCTGTCACCCATTCTGGAATGCAGTGATGCAATGGTGCAGTCTCGGCTCACTGCAATCTGCCTGCCGGGGTCAAGCAGTTCTCCTACCTTAGCCTCCTGAGTAGCTCGGACTACAGGTGTGCGCCACCACGCCCGGCTAATTTTTTGTGTTTTTAATAGAGATGGGGTTTCACCATGCTGGCCAGGCTGGTTTCAAACTTATCCACCCGCCACGGCCTCCCAAAGTGCTGGGATTACAGGTGTGAGCCGCTGCGGCCAGACAACAGTAAGTTTCATATTGTGATGTGGGCGTGGGTGTTGCAGTTTGGCTTGCTGAAAGTGTTCTGGGTAGGGGGAAGTTTATCTTATGAAACACAACCTAATCGAATGTTGCACATAGAGGTGGAAAGTCCTTCGGCTTCTCTCCAGCAGCACTTTCCCACAGGACCTCTTTCTCCACAGCCTTCAACCTCCTGTCATGTTGCTTGGACTCCTCTCTCTTCTTAGGACTTAACTCACATCTCCCCACTCTGCCCTTTTTTGGGGCTCCCATCTCATTCTCTACAGAATCCTTTCTCTTGTCCTAATTTTGCTCTCCTTTCCCCACCAAGCTGCAGCCTGCCTACGCCTGCCTAAATAACCACTAATATCTCTCTTCAAATGGAGAATGATTCTACATGGCATCTCAGCCCTTTTTTTTTTTTTTTGAGACGGAGTCTCGCTCTTCGCCCAGGCTGGAGTGTGGTGGCGCCGTCTCGGCTCACTGCAACCTCTGCCTCCTGGGTTCATATCATTCTCCTGCCTCAGCCTCCCAAGTAGCTGGGACTACAGGCGCCCGCCACCACGCCTGGCTTATTTCTTGTATTTTTAGTAGAGACGGGGTTTCACCGTGTTAGCCAGGGTGGTCTCCATCTCCTGACCTCGTGATCCGCCCGCCTTGGCCTCCCAAAGTGGTGGGATTACAGGCGTGAGCCACCGCGCCCGGCCCAGTCTCAGCCTTTTGTTAGAACACTGGGGGACTGCCAAAGCCTTTGAAAAATTAGTCTTACCATTGATGATTTTCAACTTTCCTAAATAAGTTGTTTCTTGAGCTTCAGCTGAGTTCCATTGTCATACTTAGTTATTAGTAATCTGTTGATAATCTTCAAAATGGATAAAACCTTTTCAGGTCACAGGTAGTCTACTCACAAGTGTGTACAGCGGTTCCTGACAGCCTAAATTCAAAGCCCGCTTCCTTAATGGTAAAATAGGGATGACATCGGTACCAACCATTAGAATTGCAACCATTTGGCTTAGTAAGGGCTCCCTACATGAGATGACAAGGAGCACAGTTATGGTGGCACTGAATTTGCATCCATGGCAAATGTTACAAGGAGTCAAATTTATCTCATTCTTTCTATTGATTGTGTTATTTTTTAAATGTTCAAAGTGGATATAAAAGAGTAATCATAATGAACTTTCATGTGGCCATCAACCAACTTTGACATTTATCAACTTATGGCCAGTTATACTAGCACCTAGTTACCTCCCCACGACATGATCTTAAATCCAATACTTCATCTTTCACTTGTATTTTAGTGTATACATCTAAAGAGTTTTTTCTAAAAGTCAAAAATGTCTTCATATGAAAATGCCATTCAGTATTCATATTTCTTTGGTTGTTTTATGTATATATAAATATATACATACATAAAATATTCATAAAATGTGTATATATGTATTTTTTAAGCAGTTGTTCAGAGCAACATCCAAATGAAGTCTACACTTTGCATTTGGTAGATATATCTCTCAAGTTTCTTTTAATCTGTAACCCTCTCCCCTTTCTGTCCTTGCAGTTTGTTTATTGGAAAAACCAGATCATTGAAAATTTCTCATGTTCTGGCTTCTGTCATTTAAAATGTCCCTCTTCCCCCTGTATTTCAGGCAGGCTGGTCATGAGATTACGGATCTTGAACAGATTGAGGTTTGACCAAGTGTTACTATTTATTTAGCTTCAGTATGCAAAGCTTTGTTTCTGACTCTTTCTTGTTTATTTTTCTAGCCCTAGGTGATGGCATCGCTCCTCCACAGAAAGTTCTTTTCCCATCAGAGAAGATCTGTCTTAAGTGGCAGCAAACTCATAGAGTTGGAGCTGGGCTCCAGAATTTGGGCAATACCTGTTTTGCCAATGCAGCACTGCAGTGTTTAACTTACACACCACCTCTCGCCAATTACATGCTCTCACATGAACACTCCAAAACATGTAAGTGTTCTGCGTTGTGTTTGTAGTGTTGTAGTATGCTAACCTACTTTCATTTTTTCCTCTGAAATGAAAGTGAAGAGTGCTATGATTACTAAGAAGTTGGTTTATTCTTTTAGAAACCAAGGAGGAGAATTCATTATTGGTATTCAGGTTGCTTAAAAAACATTTTGCACCTAATTGGACCTGTGAAGGTATTTAAAAAGGAACATTTTATCAGCATTTGGCATTTCTGAACTCCTTGTTGGTTTTCTACACTTACTAAAAAAAAGTGACAGAAATATCTGACATTAGCTGGGCTCACACCTGTAATCCCAGCACTTTGAGAGACAGAGGAGAGAGGATCACTCGAGCCCAAGAGTTGGAGACCAACCTGGACAACGTAGTGAGACCCCCTCTCTACTAAAAATAAAAATAAAAAAAAAATTAGACTAGTGTGGCAGCACACACCTGTGGTCCCAGCTACTCAGGAGGCTGAGGCAGGAAGGTCACCTGAGTCCGGAAGGCTGAGACTGCAGTGAGCTGTGATTGCACTGCTGTACTTCAGCCTGGGCAACAGAAAGAGACCCTGTCTCAACAACAGCAACAACAAAAGTCTGATGCCAGCAACTTGGGACAAGCAGAGTTAAGAAATCCTGCCTCTCCTGGCATTTATACCACGTTGGAAGGCTTGATTCATTTACAGGCTTGTAAGCCTTAGAGGAGAGGGTCTCTCTCGCCACTGCCCCCAACCTCCTAGAATTCAGACTAGACTTTCCCTTTAGCATTTGAGAACCTCATCTTCAACATACATGGCAGGAAATCAGTTAAAACTTATTAAAATGTCTTTAATTAGATGGAAGCCAACTCAGTGGTTGACTATCAACCTTCAGGATTTGGAACATCCATTTTTGAGGTTTTGGCCTTCTCCATATGTTGTAAATATCCTTCATTCTTTATAAATGCAGTGTCCCTCTTCTTTGATCTAAATTAATGGCTCAGATTCATGTGTGTATGTTCTGGTGCTATTCGTTAGTTACTAGGATTAAAGAAAAAAAAAATTCTTGGTTTCTTTTTGAATAGTTCTTTACTTAATGGAGAATATAAATTGGTTATTTTAAAACTGATTTTTTTTTTCCTCCAAAGAGCCAAGTAATGCTTGTAAAGAATTTGGAAAGTACAGAAAAATTTAAAGAAACCAAAGAAAAATCACCTAGAATCTCACCACCTACCTAGAGGTGTTTGTTATACCAAGGGGTTTTAAATTACAGAATGAACGTTCTGTTTGCCCTCATTTTCTCTCTTTCTAAGTCCATAATTCATTCCCCACAGACAGCTTTCCTCTCACTTTTGCGCTTAATGAAAGTAGGGTGTGGATGAAAACCCAGCACTAGCACCTGGACAGCAAGAGAGAGGACCAAGACAAAATTCAGAAGCTCCCGGTGTCCAGAATTAGGTGCCTATCTTTTATGCTACTGGTAGTTTTTGCGCTTGCTTCCTCCCTCCCTTCCTCCCTCCCTCCCTCTCTTTCTCTCTCTCTTTTCCCAGCTTTACTGAGGTGTGATTGATATATACCAAATTACACATATTTAAAATATATAATTTGATGAATTTTGACATCTGTATGCACCCATGAAACTAGCATCAAGATCAAGCTAATGAACATGTTCATAACCCTCAAAAGTTCCCTGATGCCCCTTTGAAATCACCCTTTCCATCCTTTCCCCACCCTCATCCGCTCCTGCCAGGCAACTACTGATCTGCTTTCTGTCACTATAGATGAATTAGTTTAGATTTTCTAGAATGTTGCTTATGTGGAATTGTACAGTGTATGTTCTTACATTATCTTGCTTCCTTCACTCAGCATAATTCCTTCAACATTATTCCATTTGTGCCATGTAGCATCACTTCATCGTATTGTTGAGTAGGATTCCATTTTATGGCTAGATCACAATTTGTTTCTCCATTCGTCTGTTGATGGGCATCTGGGTCATTTTTCACTTTGTGCCATTACAAATTAAGCTGATATGAACATTTGCAAACAAGCCTTTGTTAGGATATGTTTTCATTTCTCTTAGGTAAATATCTAGGTGTAAAATGGCTTGGTCCTGGGGTGGGTGTGTACTTTAACATTTTAAGAGACTTCCAAACTTTCCAAAAGGGATTGCAGTGTTTTATAGTCCCACCCCTGGTGAATGATGCTTCCATTTGCTCCACATCCTTCCCAATACTTGGGGTGGTCAGTGTTCTTCAGTTTTAGCCATCTCCATAGGTGTGTAGTGTGGTAGTATTTTGTTGGGGTTTTAATTTGTACTTTCATAATGAATAATGCTGAACCTCTTTTCTTTTTTGTTTTGTTTTTGTTTTTGAACATCTTTTCATGTGGTTATTTGCCATCTGTATATTTCCTTTGCTAAAAATGCCTGTTGAAATCTTTTGCCCATTTGAAAACTGGTGGTTTTCTTATTGTTGAGCTTAGAGAGTTCTTTATATATTCTCGATGTAAGTCTTTTATTATATAGGCTGGGATTTGTCTTTTGATTCTTTTCAGCGTCTTTTATAGAGTGCATTTTTTGTTTTGGGAAATTTCATTTCATTTTTTTTTTTTAATTCATTGTGCTGTAGGTGTTTTAAGAAATCTTGGCTGAGTGCGTGGTTCATGCCTGTAATCCCAGCACTTGGGGAGGCTGAGGCAGGTAGATCACTTGAGCCCAGGTTTTCAAGACTAGCCTGGGCAACATAGGGAGAACTCATCTCTATATAAAAAAATCAAAAATTAGGCCAGGTGTGGTGGTTCATGCCTGTAATCCACTGTTTTGGTAGACTGAGACTGGTGGCTCACTTGAGCTCAGTAGTTTGAGACCAATTTGGGCAACATGGTGAAACCCTGTCTCTATAAAAAATACAAAAATCAGCTGGGCTTAGCGGTGCGCGCCTGTAGTCCCAGCTGCTTGGGAGACTGAGGTGGGCGTATCACGTGAGCCCAGGAGGTTGAGGCTGCAGTGAGCCGTGATTGTGCCACTTTATTCCAGTCTGGGTGACAGTAAGACCATGTCTCACGGAAAAAAAAAAAGTCTTTGCCTACCTACAGGCCACAAGTATTTTTCCTGTATTTTCTTCTAGAAGTCTTACAGTTTTAGCTTTTTTTAGGGGGGTCAGTGATCCATTTTGAGTTGATTTTTGTTTGTGGTGTGAAGATGGAGCAAGTTTATTTTTTGGCACATGGATGTTCAGTTGTTCCAGCACCGTTTGTTGGAAGGATAATCCTTTTGCCACTAAATTGTCTTCGCACCTTTATCAAAAATCAGTTGGTTGAAGCACCAGAGACAGAAGAAAAAAAATCAGTAAACTGTATAAATACGATCTATTTCTGGATTCTATTATGTTGTACTGATCACTTGTTTATCTTGACACCATAGCACAATATCTTGATTACTATATATTTTAAAGCTTTGTGGCCAACTTCAGTGGCTCATGTCTGTAATTCCAGTGTTTTGAGAGGCCAAGGCAGGAGGACTGTTTGAACCCAGGAGTTTGAGACCAGCCTGGGCAACATGTCAAGACTCTGTCTCTACAAAAAAAAAAAATTAGCTGCATCTGGGAACTCATGCCTCTGGTCCTCGTTACTTGGGAGGCTGAGGCAGGAGGATTGCTTGAGCCTAGGAGTTTGAGGCTGCCGCAAGCTATGATTGCACCACTGTATTACAGCCTGAGTGACAGAGTGAGACGCTGTCTCAAAAAAAAAAGTTTTGGAACCAGGTAAGTTCTCCAGCTTTGTTCTTTCTCCGAGTTACTCTGTAGCCTGGGCAACATTGTGAGACCTCATCTTTACAAAAAATAAAAAAAATTCGCTGGGTGTGGTGGCAAGCACCATAGTCCCGGCTACTTGGGAGACTGAGGTGAGAGGCTCGCTTCAGCTCGGGAGGTAGTGACTACAGTGAGCCATGATCGTGCAGCTGCACTGCAGCCTGCGCGACAGAGTGAGATCCTGTGTCAACCAAAATAAAAAAGTTGTTCTGGTTGTTCATGGTTGCTTGGCCATTTGTATTTTCAAATGAATTTTAGAATCACTTTGAGAATTTCTACAAATAATCTTCCTGGTATTTTGATTGGGACTGTACTGAATCTTTAAATCAATTTGATGTGAATTGACATCTAAACAATATTATTTTCCGACTCACAAGCAAGGTATACCTATTTATTTAGGCCTGGTTTTTTTGTTTTTTTGTTTTTTTTGAGACAGTCTTGCTCTGTTGCCCAGGCTGGAGTGCAGTGGTGCACAGTCACGACTCACTGCAGCCTTCAGCTCCTTGGCTCAAGGGATCCCCCTGCCTCAGCCTTGTGAATAGCCAGGTATACAGGCATGTGCTACAACACTTAGCTACTTCTTTATTTTTTTGTAGAGACAGTCTTACCATGTTGCCCAGGCTGGTCTTGAACTCCTGCACTCAAGCAGTTCTCTTGCCTCAGCCTTTTTTTGTTTTTGTTTTTCTTTTTCTTTTGAGATGGAGTCTTACTCTGTTGCCCAGGCTGGAGTGCAGTGATGCGATCTTGGCTCACTGCAGGCTCTACCTCCCGAGTTCGCACTATTCTCCTGCCTCAGCCTCCCGAGTAGCTGGGACTACAGGCGCCCACCACCACACCTGGCTAATTTTTTGGATTTTTAGGAAAAAACGGGGTTTCACCATGTTAGCCAGGATGGTCTCGATCTCCTGACCTCGTGATCCACCCGTCTCGGCCTCCCAAAGTGCTGGGATTACAGGTGTGAGCCACCGCGCCTGGCCCTTTTTTTTTTTTGAGACGGAATCTCAGTCTGTTGTCCAAGCTGGAGTGCAGTGCCACTGTCTTCACTCACTGTAACCTCCACCCCTTGGGTTTAAGTGACTCTCCTGCCTCAGCCTCCCAGGTAGCTGGGATTACAGGCATGCACCATCACACCTAGCTAATTTTTGTATTTTTAGTAGAGTTGGGGTTTCACAGTGTTGGCCAGGCTGGTCTCAAACTCCTGACCTCAAGTGATCTGCCTGACTCGTCCTCCCAAAGTGCTGGGATTACAGGCATGAGCCACTGTGCCCAGCCTCTTGCCTTAGCCTTTCAGAGTGTTGGGATTTCAGGCATGAGCCACTATGCCTGGCGTAGGCCATCTTTAGTTTCTCGTTGCCCAGGCTGGAGTGCAATGGCATAATCTTGGCTCACTGCAACCTCCGCCTTCTGGGTTCAAGCAATTCTCCTGCCTCAGCCTCATGAGTAGCTGAGATTACAAGTGCCTACCATCAAGCCTGGCTAATTTTTGTATTTTTAGTAGAGACAGGGTTTCACCCTGTTGACCAAGCTGGCCTTGAACTCCTGACCTCAAGTGATCCACCTGCCTTGGCCTCCCAAAGTGCTGGGATTACAGGGGTTGAGCCACTGCACCCAGCTGGGATAAATATTTTCATTAACTATTATACAAAGGGTATTTTATTTTTAAAATTTCAACTTCCTGATCGTTTATTGCTAGCCTATAGAAATACTATGTTTTTCAGATTTTGATCTTATATCTTGGAACCTTGCTTAAGTCACTTACTAATTGTAGTAGTTTTTTTAAAGATCCCTTAGTGTTTTATAGACGCAACCATGTGATATGTGAATAAAGATAATTTTACTTCTCCATTTCCAGTCTGTGTAGTTTCTTTTTTTCTTTTTCTTGCTGTTTTGTTCTGATTAAGAGACCTCCATTACGTTGTTAAATAGAGGTGATAAGAGTAAAAATCCAAGTCTCTTTCTCAGCCTTAGAGGAAAAGCATTCAGTCTTTCACCATTAAGCGTGGTGTTGTAGGTTTTTCATAGATACCTTTTACCAGGTTGAGTTGTTTGATGCTTGAATGTTAAACCAACTGTGCATTCCTGAGATGACTCACACTTAGTCATGATACATTACTCTATGTATTACTGGCTTTGATTTGCTAAAATTATAAACAATTTTGTCTTAATGAGTGTTATTAGTCTATAGTTTCTTATAATGCCTTTTTTTCTCCTTGTTTTGTCGTTAGGGTAATGTTGGCATCATGGCAAGTGTTGGGATATATTTTGTTCACTTCTATTTCCTGGAAGAGTTTGTACAGAATTGATGTTATTTCTTCTTTAAATGTTTGGTAGATTTCAGCAGTGAAGCCATCTGGGCCTTGCAGTTTCTCATGGACAGGTTTTAAACTACGTATTTAATTTCTTCTTTTCTCTCTTTTGTTTTTTAGAAATCAGGATCTTGCTCTTTTGCCCAGGCTGGAGTACAGTGGCAAGATCATACTGCAGCCTCCACCTCCTGGGCTCAAGCAATGCTCCCACCTCAGCTTCCTGAGTAGCTAGGACTAGAGGTGTGCATCACCACACACAGCTAATTTTTAAATTATTTTT